CAAAGGTCAAAGTAACCTCAGAGAGTTAGATGAAGAAAAACAAAAGTCTAGCTAAAAGAACTGAATAAATCCTTCTTGAACAAGATGAAAATTCCATCAGCCAAATCCATTCTTTCATATCTGAGTTTAAGTCATTTTCCACTCCCCAACCCCACCTTTCCCTGAGTTTTGTATTATTTGAGGGCAAGGCATGTTTTCTACATAAAGAAAATGCCTTCACTTCAATGATCAGGATTCTATGTTCAACATAGTTTTGCTTTTTGTTTCGCTTTGTTTTGTTTTTTTTTATTGTTGTTGTTTGGCAGTGCTGGGGACTGAACCCAGGGCCCTGCACATGCTAGGCAAGCACACGACCACTGTACCCCATAATTGTTTTTAAGAACTGGGGGAGAAATCCTCAAATCCTCAGTCATTAAAACAGCCCTAAGGGGCTGGGGATGTGGCTCAAGCTGTAACTCGCTCACCTGGCATGCGTGTGGCCCCGGTTCGATCCTCAGCACCACATACAAACAAAGATGTTGTGTCCGCCGAAAGCTAAAAAGTAAATATTAAAATTCTCTCTCTCTCTCTCTCTCTTAAAAGAAAAAAAAAAACAGCCCTAAGCTTATACATTTATCTAATATGATCAAGATGGTTTTCAAAATATGTTCCATTTTGTAGTGACAGAACACATCTGCCTCTGCATCTTCCCACTCCTGGGAATCCTAAGAACATCTCATGTCTTTATTTTTTAAAAGGAGTTTTAATAGTACATATTTACGGGGTACACTGAAATCATTCAATATATGTACATTGTGTAATGATCAGATGAGATAATTAGCATTTCCCTCCCCTTAAACATTCATCTATCACTTGTTATGTTAAAAACCTGTAAACTTTTCTTCTCTAGTTCTTTGTAAAATACATAGTGAATTGTTGTGAAGTATGACATTAAGACTTCTTCATCCTATGGCACTGTATTTTGGTATACTGATCCAACCTCCCTCTCCTCTGTGCCCACTAATTTTCCTAGCCTCTAGTGACCACTATTCTGCTCTCTACTATGAGAGGTATACCCTTCCAGGTCTATCTCTACTGCTACGAGATCAGTTTTTGTAGGTTCGACATATAAGTGAACAGTTTTGTAGGTTCGACATTTATCTTTTTGTGCCTTATTTCACTCAGCATAACATCCCCTAGTTCCAACCACATTTCCTGAAATGACAGGACTTTATTTTCTTTTTATGGTTTAATAATGTTCCATTGATTATGTGTACCACATTTTAACCACTCCCTATTGGGCATTAGGTATTGGATATGGAATTGATTCCATATGTTGGTTAGTGAAAATATCACATTTCTTAATTAAGATTTGGAAAGTACAACCTAAGGGCCTGGGGATAAAGTGGAATCAACTAAAGCCAATCAAACAATACTGCTTCTGATTACTGAACAGTCTCCCTTAAAATGTTGTGCTCATTTTTAGAAATTTGTAGTTTGCAAATTATGATTCTAAAAGATTTTTCTATACTGAAATTCATAGTATGAAGAGATTTTCTAAATAGTTGTCTCCTGTATGGTAAGGGATATTAGTTTGGAATATACAATGCCATTTTTATAGATGTGTTATAGTTTGAATCTCAAGTGTCCCTGCAAAGGTTTGGTCCCCCATGCAGCAATGCTCAGGTGAGACTTTGCAGAAGTGATTAGATAAGGCTTTGACCTCACTGATGGAGTAACACCTTCATGGGTTCATAATCGAGTAGACTATCGAGAGGTGGTGGAAACTACAGAATGTAAGGTCTCAGTGGAGGACATGGTCACTGGAGTGTGTCCTGGAAGGGTATATCTTGGGCCCAGCCACCGACTCCCCCACCATCTGCCTGCTGCCATGAGATGACACTTTCCTCCACCTTGCCCTTCCGCCATGATGCTCTGCCTCACGTCAGGTCCAAGGCAATGGAGTTAGCTGACCATGGACTGTAGCTTCTGAAACCATGAGCCAAAATAAATCTTTCCTCCTTGTGTTTTTTTTTCAGGTATTTTTGTCACAGAGATGAAAAGTTGACTAACATAAGATGGAATCAAATTAAAATTAAGGAGATAGTTTTGTATCTTTCTGAACTTATAATCTTGATCAACATAATCTTTAAAAACATTTAAGTTTTCTTGTCTATGGATAAGGAAAATATTTTCTGTACTCAAGTTAAAACTGTAAAAACATTTAAAGATGAAGAAAATCAAGAAAACTATAGCAATACTACTAACTAGTATTTACTAAACACCTTGGCCATTTGCAGTGCTAAATATGTTATTTACATTGTTTTTTTATGTTATAGTGACAATACATATATATTTAAGTGTGGTTTAACAGAAACTATTGATGCTTCCATTAGGAAAAATTCAGCCAGCACTCATTCACCTTAGCTTTCAAAGGTTGACTGGCTTTGCTTTTTCACAAATCTTTTCTTAACGAGATTAGTGGTGGTCCTTCATGAAATTGCTTACATAAAAATATAATTGTATATCAAAGATTTTTAGCCCCAAAGGAGCAGGACACCAATTTATATTGGCTTTACATTCATTTCTCAGCTTTTGCACCATTTCTTTAATAGCAGTCACAACTGAAGGCCTTCAGCTAAAAGCATTTGTGAACTTGGATATTTTTGCCTTTCACTTTTTAAAAATTTATTTGCTACTAATATTTAAAAGCTAGGAGTTTCGCCCTCCCTTCTTTCCTTTCTTCTTCTTCTGGTTTTAGTTATTTTGTTTTGTTTTGTTTTGTTTTGTACTGGGGATTAAACCCCAGGGTCAGTTTTACAGCTGAGCTACGTCCCTATCCCTTTGAGACAGGGTCTCACTAAATTGCCTAGCCTGGAATCAAACTTGCAATCCTCTGACCTCAGCCTCTTTAGTAGTTGGGATTACAGTTGTCACCACACCTGGCAAGAATTTTATTTTTGACATCCATATTTTCTTGAAAAAATACGACCAGACTGCCTTTGTCACTATCTTCCATGCTCCCAACTGTTTCCATGCACTCCAAGCTTGAGGCCAATGGTTCTCCCTCATTCTACTCACACAGTAGTTTTTCATTCACCCTACACCCCTCAAATTAACCAGCCAGGTTCTTGGAGGTCTTTGAGTTTATAACTCCTGTCTTTAATTGTAGATATGATGATAACAACTTTAATTGTAGATATGATGATAACACAGTGCTTACCAGGGCTAGACAATTTCCCAAGTATTTAAAATGCACTAACTCATTTAATCTTCAAAATAACTGACAGGTGCCAGGTGGCTCATGTAATCCCAGCCACTGGGGAGGCTGAGGCAGGAGGATTGAGAGTTCAAAGCCAGCCTCAGCAAAAGCAAGGCACTAAGCAGCTCAGTGAGACCCTGATTCTAAATAAAATACAAAATAGGGCTGGGGATGTGGCTCAGTGGTCAAGTACTTCTGAATTCAAACCTGAATTCAATTTCCAGTACTCCCCCAACCCCAACCCCAAAATCACAAAATAACAGGTGAACACAATCTGAATCCCCATTTCACAGTTTCAGAAGCTGAGACAGAAATGTGGGCAACTTGCACAAGGCCACACACTTGGTAGGAATGACTGTAGACAGAGGATAACTGGCTCAGAGTCTAAGCTTTCTTTTTCACATGGTAGCAGGTTTCCTTAACTGATGTCTTTACAGTTAATCGCCTTTGGAAGTACCTAATGGGTGCTGCTCTTTGAAACACCTAGGGAGTACACTTTAGATAGAGATTGGACCTTACTTAGTTAGCATTTTATTTAATGTCATGTTGGTTGATTAGACAAGTTGCCCTTTCTCTAAGGCTTTACTGCTATCTGCCAGAAAGCTGTGGATACAAAATGACAAATGAATGGTTCTGAGTTTAAAGGCACCTCTAGAGCTGTCTACACAGCCATATGCAGTGGCCCTAGGCTTGAGAATGTCTTGCTATTTTTACAGTTAAGACTTACTTCATATTTGTATGCATATAAGATTAACAAAAAATGTTTTGCAAAAATAAAAATCTATGAATCATACATGTCATTTTCTATGCAACTTGGACTTTTCATTATCAAGAATTATTTCATGATTAGGGCAGAAAAATTTAGAGTGATGATGTTAGACATTAATATCTCCAAATTCCAGGAGCTATTTCCCTCTGCCCAAGAGCAAACTTGAAAACTCTGACAGCTGTTCGTCTTCCACAGACATGATGCAATCACAAAAACTTCATCTTTGCCCAAGGAAAGCCCTTGAAATTGCATGGTCTTTCAGCATCCCCTCCCCTTCTTGTAACATAAAGCTTGAAAGTTATAATAAGAGATTTGCTCTACTAATTCTTTAATAAATATATTTAATCTAAGTATCAATTATACTGCTCTTATCCCAATATTAATAACAATGAGATAGGATTTGAATTCAGATTTGACTCCTAAATTTTGGTTTATTCTACCATTCTACAATGCCTCCTAAATGCTAAATTAGTCAAGTAGCTCCTCACCAAGTCTACTAAGTATTGAGAGCTATGCCGGACCATCTGCAGAACTGTTTGGGGCAGATAGTGACTAAGTGCTGGGAGTGAGGACATCACACTCCTAGGAAGCAGAGAGCAGCACATAATCAAATGGAACTACATTCTTGAAGTTAAATTCATTCTTTCCAAATGGGACAGACATCCAATTAAGAGTCCCAAAGATTTGGGAGATTGAGAGAACCCTTTGGAGAGGAAGGAAAAAGAAAGATGAGAATTCTCAGTGGTTAAGTTCTTGAAGACGTTGAGAAAGAGAACTGTACCCATGCCAACTCGTCATGTCTCACAATTTAAAGTCTAACAGAGCAGAACTAGGAAGTTATTTGTTAAGTGGGGGGGGGGGTACAACTCTTCCAAGTAAGCGAGCAGGGAGAGTATCAGAAATTCTAAGTTTAAAGGAGTTACACTCAGTCCAGCCAAGAAGCAATAGAGCATGGCTGAACAGGACTTGGGGAGATCTGTGTGAACTTACAGGACCGTGGTCTGCTGTGGTACCTGAGGAATGTGATCCAGCATCAAGTGCATGCAGCGGATGGTGCTCTTAAAGCAAAGGCACCGGCTGGGGCAGGGCAGCACCGGCAGACACCAGCTGGCCAGGAGGAAGCAAGTGGTCCAGCAGAGGAGTCTGGGCTCCATTGCTCCATCCGCGGCTGGACAGCAGCAGCTGTGGCAGCAATAGCAGTGGTGGTGGGGATAGTTGGGGCTGGGCTAAACCAGGCTTGGGAGCAGTGCCTGAAAGCAGCTCCCAGGGAAGAGGCACCCCCTGGCCAATCCAGAAGGAGAGAGATCACATTACGACGCTGAAGGCAGGGGGCGGCTCTAAGCAGAAATCAGACTCCCAAGGACAAGGGGGACTCGGGAGTGCAAGAGGCTCTATAGGCAGCGTGATGCAAATAAAAACTTTTTCCAAACTTGCTTCCACTGCACTTTTTATGTAAGCCCCAGCCTCTTAGCCCCTAGCTGTCCTTTTGAAGTTCAGGTTGATTAATTATTTATTGAATCCAGGCAGAACAGTTTTCCTTCTTTTTATCTGATAACATTACCAAATCCTAAAAGGGCAGGCAGTTCTAATGAGTTGATCTAGGTGCACGAATTCCTACCTTACTGCAAACGGTGCTCTGAAAAACATGGTTTCCCTCCTTTTTCTGTATTCTACCCCTAAACCCAACACATTTTACTCAGGTAAGATTCAAACTGCCTACTTCAGATTTCTTCAATATTTAATGTTTAAAATTGTATGTTTGAAACCATGATCTCATATACTAGTAGGACAGACAACTGGTGGACAAACGTGTAACTATGTAAAGTAGTGCAGGTGCTGGCTGGAGAATGGCTTGTCATTGTCATGCATATCCAGGAACTGAGTGGGCCCCTCTTTGAGAATGTCTGGAAGAACAGGATTGATAGTTATAAACACTTATACTCTGGGCATTCTGTTAAGCAGATATTAAAAAGGAGTGGGGGGAGTCTTGATTTGATTTTCTTTAAAGAATTAAAATTTTCCAACAAATCTCTTTTTAAGAATAGAAATACAAATTAAAACTTGTATGGTCAAACCCAGGTGATCAGACTGGGAATCCAATATAGTAAATGCAGAGTTCTGTGGAGTCTTATCAGTTTTAAGAGGAAAAAATAAATGCATCCTTCCACAATAGTCTCTTCAGGCTGTGTACATTCTACTGTAGGTGAATACTGCCCTCTTTTGGCAAAATGTTCACATCTACATGTGTGATGTTTGGGGGCTTAAAATACAAAAAGACTAAAAGAACCAAACTAATCTATGTGAACAGGATGACTTTTAAATAAACCTTAAGTATGCTTGGCATTTTTCATGTGTTTTATTGTCAAAGTATATAAAAAAAATTTTTTAAAAAAAGCAAATTCCTTTCAACTGTACTCATACAATTACTACGAGTACAATTACTACTTGTCAGTGTTGGATTTGGAAAACGTGAATAAGATGGGCAGGTTAGTGCCTTACAATTTCAGCTCAAAAATAAAATAAATATTATCTGTACTCATAAGGTCCAGAAGGATAGATTAAAATCTTTCTAAATATAGAAGCCTATGTTAACATTGAACTGGGGGGAAAAAAACACTGATTACTGACTTTGAGTACAGGGCTTCGGAAGGGTAAGAACCATTACATGGCCCTTCAGATAGTACCTTAGGACAATTCTCACCAAAAACAACTAAATGTGTTAGATAAAATATTTAACACATTTTTGAAAATGCATTTATGTGCCATGACTTAGTTAGCAAGGTGTTTACAAAAGTCCAAAAATGAAGTGAAGTGGGAAGTCCATAAGGCTAAGTAAACACTGAAGGCTGGTTCAGTTTGGGGTTATTTGCATAACTAAGTGAAATTAACTTTGGGACTGGAATAGGAGAGGTACTAGGATAGAAACCCCTCTACTAAGCAGAGAGTCTCACCTGGAAAAATCTGTATAGCCCCAGAGCTGTATCTTAAAAATAAACTGGGAACACTTCCCACCCTTGCCCTTGCCTACCCTTGCCTGACAAAACAAGGAAAACTGCCTATTTCAAGGCTTGACAGTGGGGAGGCAGCAAGTAAAATCTCCCTGGAGCTGTCATAACTCCAAAGTAGCCTTCTAGTGCAGGTCTAGATCATCCCACTCCACCTGAGTGGTCCAGAAGACCTAATTAAGGATGTAAAGAGTCCCATGGTCAAAGTTGTACAACACAAACTCAGTCAAAACCCACAAACTACAAAAGTTGTAAGTGCTAACCATGGAAACATCATGAGCAGAATTTACACATGGAATCACACAAGGAATACAAAATAATTAAGTTCCATATGTTTATGTAAGGAGACAAATAGATGAGGATGGTGGGTACATGAGGTGAAGAGAATAATCCAATGAAATGAGCCTATTGTACTGACTCCGCACATGCTTTCTTTGCCAAAAAGCAATCTGCCTGCAGGCCTTCTGTCCAGGATGCACAGGAAATATCACATTTCTCAACAGACTGAGGCAAGCAGCTGAAGGTCTGGCAGTCAATGTAGGTAATGAATGATGGAGGTTAAGAAGAGGAAGGCTGGTTATCAAAGAAGAGAATGGGTTGCTAATAGCTAACCTCTTCCCTGCACAAGGAATTGCTAAGGATTACCCAAGCTGCTCCTTCTGGCCCTTAGACAAGTACACAGAGAAGAAAAGGTGGGAGGTTTGGGAGTCTATAAAAGAGCAAGACACACCCATTCCTGAGGGCAACCACCTCTGGGCCCTCTTCTCTCCAAAGAAGTCTGCTATCCCTGCATTTGTCTCTTTTTAAATGAACTTGCTTTCTATGTGTTTCTTGGGTATTTAATCTTTAAAACCAGGGGAATGAAGACCAATTCCTGACTTGTATCATTTAGAAAACTGAACACATTAATAAATTAAACAACCCAGCTGATCTTTTAAAAAAAAAAAAGCAGAACTAGAAAACAAAGTAGATAGTAAAGCTCACTAAAAAGGTAAAACTTACCAGCAAATTTCAAACAACCTTAAAAGAGAATTGGTGCCAGGTATTGTATACACAATCATAATCCCAGGGATCCAGGAAGCTGAGGCAGAAGGATTACAAATTCAGACAACTTGGTGAGGCCCTAAGCAACCTAGTGAGACTCTCTCTCAAAATAAAAAATAAAAAAGGGTTAGGGATATGGCTTACTGGTAAAGTGGCCCTGGGTTCAATCCCTCATGCCAAAAATACATAAATACATAAAAGAGAACTGATGATCCATGAATATATCTGAAGAAATGATCTAAAATTCAACGCAGAGAGGAAATGTCAAGATAGTATTTGTAAGGGGGAAATAAAGGTAGCCAAGAATCTCCAGAATTGACCAAAGAGAACAACTCAACACAACTACAAGACATGTAAATAGCAGGTGGGAAAAATGAAAAGATATTCACACGCAGGCACATTATATGAAACTACGAAGGATTAATGATGCAAAGACAAGAATGTTAAGACATCATTAAAGCAGATACACATGACAGATGACCCCCAAAAGGAAAGACCATCAGTTGACTTAATAACTACAATGGAAGACAAAATATAGAGAAATCACAAATCCTTTAGAGGAAATGCTGCCAATCTAAAATCTTATAAACAATGGACATAGTTTTTAAATGATTCTTTTTTTCTGTCAGACAAAACTAAGAGTTTGCAACCATAGTCCTTTACTAACAGAAACTCAAAAGGACATACCCTTGGGAAAAGGAAATTAGGATGGTCTAAGAGGAGGGAAGGAATAATGAGCAAAAACAGGTGCAAATGGGAGTATATCTAATCTAACATTGGTTAGATAAACAGCAGCAATGGTATGCTATACAGCTTCACATTTTAGAAGTAAAACATATGCCAGCACATCATTTTGAGGTGATGACCTCAGAGTTAGTGTTCTATTACTTAAGGTGATAGGAGAGTAACTGATTTTTAAGATTAATAAATTAAGTGTTGTGTATTAATGCATTAAAATGTTGTGTAATCACTAATAGCAGAAGGGAAAGTATATAACTTCAAAAATAAAAATAGAAAAAAAATGAAGAAATAATAATCCAAAGAATATAGAAAATAAATATAGTAGGCATATAGCTCAACAATTCACTGGATAGTAATATTTAACGTGAATGTCAATAGAAAGCATCAAGATTGTACAAATAAATTTTTAAGAAACTCAGCTATCTCTTGTTTATATGAAACATCATCTAAAACATAAGCAACAACAAAAGCTGAAAATAAAATAGTATACTAGGTATCATTTTGCTATCCAAGTAGGCACACGCACAAAAATGTACTTAAGTCATATTAGATTTGAACAACACAATTTAAAAATGCACTCAATTGACATTAATAGAATATGACAGTGGGCTGGGTATGTGGATCAGTAGTGGAGTGCTTGCTTGGCATGCATGAAGTTGAGGGTTTGATAACCAGCACCACAAAAAAACAAAAACCACGACAAAAAAATGACACTGAAAAATTGCAGTACATTTTTAGACACATCAAGCCATTTATATAAAAAAAATTACCATAAGGTTAATAAAACAAGAAATAAGGCTGTTCTTGTTCAACACATCTATTTAGCACTGTCCTGAAAGTCCCAAACACATCAGGTAAAATAAAAAATCCAAAAAAAAAAACCGACAAAACTAAGATTTATTTAAAGATATGAGTCTCTGTGTAGAAAACCTAGAAAAGACACAAGAGACAAGGATATAAATATTGTACAAAAATCAATAAAAAGTCTAAAATACCATTTTAATAAACAGAACACAAGAATAGCAATAAACCTAACAAAAGATGACAGACCTTAGAGCCAAATTGTGTTAACTATTAAAACATTTAATAAGACCCCAAAGAAGTACCATATTCATGTATTCATATCATAAGATTGGCAAGGGGGCATAATCCCCAAAATGTTGTGTTTGTGTAATCTGAAAAGCTGTTCATAAAATTACATGAAAGTCTACTGGTTCAAGAATAACCGAGAAATGCCTGGAACATAAGTTGAAGAGACTTAGCTTAGTATATCAAGAATTAGGGTAAATCTATAGTAAATAAAACTGTGTGGTTTAGCAGAGGGATATATAAACTAATAAAATAAAAAAGAAAGCTAGATACGAGCACAAATACATGAAAACTTAATTTGTGATCAAGTTACCACTGTAGATCACAGGAGAGGAAAAAGTCTTTAAAAATTGGTCATGAAACAATTGATCAAACAAGTGAAAAAATAATAATCAAACTGGACCATATTTCTGACCACACAAAGATCAATATCCCGGGTATATTGTAGATTCAAATGTTAAGAAAAAAATCATAAAAACTTCTGCAAGAAAATATATAATATTTTCATGATCTTTGTATTGAAGGTGTAAAAGGATGAATTTGAAACTTAAAACTGAAAATGACACCAACAGGGGGAACTGTAAAATGAAGTTCTCTGAAAAAGCTGCATATCTATTCAAAGTTCCTGCGGACTACTTGACCCTGCCTAAGCAGAACGCTGCAGACATAGGTAATGTTGTAACTTGAGAGACTATTATCTCAGGCTATCTCAGACCTGTTGATAGCCACTTACCTTCACTTCTGCATCAGGTGTAACCTTCTGATGACTATCACTAAGCTTAGCAGACCTCTAGCCTGCAGCAGGCCTAAAGCTAAGCCGGTGTAACATCTGAAACCTACAGAAGAGAGATCCCCTTGCCATAAGCCCACCAACCTGATGTTCCCACACTTGATCACCAAATGCACTGATTTATGACTTTGGTTCTGTGATTATCATAAATCACATAACCTCTTCCACAGTGGTACATGCCATTCAGGGTAACTTGAGTCCATGGTCACTCATATTTGGCTCAGAATAAACCATATTTCCAACACACATAACTGACAATGGAATAATACCAAGGCTACAAATAGAACTCCTATAAGTCAGTCTTTAAAAAGAAACTACCCATGAAAAAAATGTATAAGACTTGACTGACAAAGTTTTCCTTTTTCAGAAAGGAAACCTAAAATCAAAACAACACTTGAAATTATTTAAAAAATAAAAACTCATTACCTAATAAGTAACAAAGTCCTTGTAAGATATTTCACACTACCCAACAGGCAAAAAATTATAGTGTATATAGGTGAGGATATGGTATAACCAAAAAAATCTAAACATAGCTGGATAGAACATACATTGTTCATTATTTTGGAAAACAAATCTGTACCATCTGGGTAAAATGAATATAAGTATGTTCTATAATCTAGTAGTAATTCTATCCCTAGATGTACAACCTAAGAAAAACTCTCACAGCCACTATACATGTAGAATGTTCAGAGTAAACTATTTGCAGGAACAAAAAAAAAAAATGTCCATCATAGAATAAATTATGAACTGTTAGTGTAACACAACTGCATACAACATAAATTAACCTCAGAAAAGTAGCAAGGAGTGAATAAGAGAGCCGCTGAATATATACATACAGTATGAATATAGCCATGTAATATACAGGTTGTGTAAATACAAGCCAGTGGCAAAATAACAGCAAAAAGCAGGGTCAGAAAAAACAGAGTTACCCTGAGGGATAAATCTCATTTAATCCCTGAGAAGGGAGGGATTGAGATTGGGAAGGGGCACAGACGTTGGTTATGCTAGAAGTCCAACCTTACAGTATGTACACATGCACCTACACTGAACTTATTCCTGGTACTTTATATGTATTTTATAAAAAGACTTTATATACATGAGTATTTTATTAAAATAATTTTTAAAAAACGACATCCTTGGCTGGCCATGGTGGCTCACGCCTGTAAACCCAGCAGCTTGGGAGGCAGAAGCAGCAGGATAGAGTTCAAAGCCAGCCACAGCAAAAGCGAGGTGCTTAAGAAACTCAGTGAAACCCTGTCTCTAAATACAATACAAAATAGGGCTGGGTATATGGCTCAGTGGGTTGAGCGCCCTTGAGTTTAATCCTTGTTACACCCTCCCCACGCACTACCAAAAAAAAAAAAAAAAAAAACTACATCCTTCAGAGCTGGCAATAGGCACAAAGAAGTTTGAACAAAGATGTTCAAACACGCACCACCATAAACCATAATTCACCTACATCCACAGGAATATTGAGAACATCTAAATTCATAAGTTTTTTAAAAAGAAAGAAATAAATGCCAGGCCACTAGAAAATGATGCTTAATTTATGTGATTTTTTTTATTTAAAATGACTTTCCAAGTCTTCCAATGGCTTTGTTTCAATTTTATTATCTCAAACAGCTAGAAGTCAATACGCTTTTTGTATTTTATTATAATCACTATGTATGCTATTTTAATTTTTTTTATTAATATCAGAACCACATGTATCAACCAGTAAGCAGTACAGATTTAAATTAGCTTCTCAGTAGTTATGGTATCATTGCCAGATTCTTGAGATTTCGCTAATGCTGAATACTATTTCAAGCCCTTTCTCCAACTAGCTATATAACTAGCAAAACATGCCACCACTCTAGGCCTACTTTCTTATTTGCAAAATCAAATGCCTCAATTAGATGATATCTAATGTTTTATCTATCTATAAAATTCCATGATATTCCCCATCACATTCATTTACTTCTATTTCATCTTCATTTGCTACTTCTCTACTGATAAAAGCATAATTTTCTATAATCAAGTAAATATGAATTCATTAAAAACACAAACCCAAAATATTCTTATTCCAATATATTTGCATAATAGATAAGAAGGCTCTCACTTGAATTTTCTTATTTTATTTCTACCTCTTTATTTAAAGTCAACGATAAAAGTCATACCTGTAAAATAAATGCATTTAAGAACACAAAAGATACAGTTCAATGACCAAAAAAAATAAGCAGTGATCATGAAAATCTACTATATATTTTGCTAAGGTCAACAGAATGAAAGACAATATGAAAATGTCCATCTTCAAATATATCCTTAATAAAAATTTTACTAAATGGGTAAGAGTATTAACAAAAAAAAATGTGTATTTTTACGCATCTGGCACCAGCTCAAATAACAACAATTTTTTAAAAAATGGGAGTGGGGAATTAAACAAGATGAAAACTCTTCCTAGGTTTTCTAGATAAAAATATGTGGGTACCAGGAATTCACGATTAAACTTCTGAAACAACTCAAGAATTAAATGAATATTTGTAACAGATAACAAAAGCATAAAACTGATTTTTTTTTCTTAGAAATGAGATGGGGAATTTCTTAATAAAAGTTTAATAATTATCTAAGAAAAAATTTAAAGTCCCCCATTCCATTTCCCAGCCATGAGTATAAAACAAATACCTTCCAAGAAATTTTCTTTCACATTACTAAAATGATTGGGGGCAATTTCGTGTCTAGATCATTTCAAACAATTGCTTGTTATTGTCTTTGTGGTTCTGAGCACAGAACCCAGGGCTTCACACATGCTAGTCAAGGGGTCCACCACTGAGTTAGGTACCCACCCCAAACAAGTGTTTTAGATATGTGGAATTACTAGAGCTGAGATTTTTGAAACAATATTTGAATCTTAGTAAAGAGATAACAGTCTTTCACTATACAATGATTTGAGTTTCCGTAAGAAAATCTGAGCAACTGTTTTAATATGATGCTGGTGGTAATAAATGGTAATTTCAAATTTTTCCCTTTAAAAAATACATGATCCATGTTAACACTAAGTAGTAAATATATTACATTGTACATTTTAACAAGGAATGAGTGTTTCCAAGCCTTAAGAGGAAAAAAAAATCCTAATAACGGCATTACCTGTTTTGTCACTAATACACTATGTAGCTTAAGTATGCAACATTAAGCAAAAATGAATATATAATTTTACCAAAGAAACAGAAAAATATGGGAAGAAGTTGAATGCACATGGTGTACGTCCCAAAGATTACACTATGATCCTGAATCAGATTTTTAATACAAATGTGTCTACATACAAGTTCTGTGAATATTTCTTACACTAGAAAGATCCAAAGCAAATGTAGGCAAGTTTATCCCTATGTTGTAAAGTTAAATATACAGATAGGCTAGAAGTCCCATTTGCTAAAGTGCATCAGCTGACCATATCTGCTCTGGCCCTGCTATTAGGAGCTATCTGAGAAAGTGGTGATCACTCGTGCTTATTTATTCACTCTTTTCTCTATGCTATTATAGTCAGAGAGGATGATAGATTTTTTTTAAAAACCAAATACTTTGTACAGTGAACTACAGAAAAAACAATCCTAAATATACTACCTTTGAAAATTCTGAGTTAAGATAACCTCATTATTTTTAAATACTGAAAATGTAAAGGGTCCATACAAATTGAGTTGTATTAAGTATATACTTTCTACTTTAATATTCACTTGCTGTGCTCTTAAAATCTCTATAAGAGAAGCAGGTATTTTCCCCATGTCTTTTGGCAAAAGTAAAAGCTGCAGGGCTGTAAAATTTCATGAAATTTGTGGGGTTTTTAAAGCTAAATTTACTCAATATCTTGTATTATTATTGCACTCATATATTGCCCGGAACATATCTACAGCAACTCAGCAACAGTGATTGCAACAAAAGTAAGGTAAATAGGTCTACAAAGCATTTGATTTCCTTATTAGATAAGAAAGTTTTCATAGAGGAAATGCAAACAACTGCAATTCAAATCAGATTATATATGCTTAACAATTACTTATATAAAATTAAATCTAACCCTCACCTCTACAAATCTGTAGGGAATCAGAAAAGGACTTATATTACACAAAGTCTTGACTATTGCTGCATTCCTCTTTGAAATCACTTGAGTTAAAACAGCATTTTCCCAAGATTTAAAGAAAAATAGATTTTATAAAAGAGTTTCTTTTTCATCACTGAATACATCATCTTTGTTACTAAGAGAAACAAGTTATATATTTTTTCCCACTATGATTCACTCTGATGAAACAAATAATTCTCTTTCTTTTAACTCCTAATAAACACTATATTTTCAAGACTAAAGGAATCATCAGTAGGCATTCTTTTTGATATAAGTTATTTGTCTCTAAAATATGTCAAGTAAGCTTTCAAAGACTCAGGGAGGGGCAGCTTCATGATTTTTTCCCTCAGTAAATTCTGTGGTGGCTCCTCTGGCTTCATGGCTTCATTATGATCTTTCTCATCCTCTTCTTTGTTATCTTCTTCCATTTTTTCATCCTCCTCACTGTCTAAAGGCTGAGGAATGAGCTGATTACCCACAAACACATAAGTGTTGATTCTCTGTTTAACTCGCTTTCTTTTCCTCTTAGGTGGAGCCCTTTGAGGAATCCCCTTGGCCTGCATCTCATCATTTATGAAATTTCTAAGTGTGCGCCGAATGTAAATACGAGCCAAGTCCTGTAGATTCCTGACAGCACAGGGAGCTAAAAACAAACAAAAAGCACAAAAAAGAAAACATTATACATTTGTTAATTTCTACATAGAACAGAACACATTTTTCTAGCAAATTTTATAAAAAGCAAAACTATTAAAACTGAGTTTTGGGGTACTTATTACATTCTAGGTACAAGGAAAGTGGCAATGGAGAGAGGTCAAAAGCATGAGGGTGTGTGGTGTTGCCATGTGTATACATAAAGGTCCTCTGGAAGGATAAACAAAAGGTTAGAAACAGGGTAAGTGAGAACAAAGTGATAAAGTGACAAGAACAGGAAAGAGCCTTTACCCTGCATATTCTTTCATATTATTTGACATTTGTATCACATGAAAAGGACCAACTGGTCACAAAACTCAAAAGCAGCATTTGAATAGTTGGCCTCTGTGTGTACTGTAAAGCTATCACACTCACATAAGCTTCTTCCTTTCTTTCTGTGAATCACCAAGTAGACCTACTCCATGGCAAGGAGACGTTATGCTGTGAATAACATTAGCAGCTCAAACACCACAGACAGTTTTTCAAGTTACTGATTTTTACATGTATCTAATACGTCATACAGTTGGTACAATCTCATGTCTGCTTCACTCCTATCTCCCTTAGTACACATACTCTTCTAGAGAATGAATATTTTAGCCTGTTCCCAGTACTTTAGAGAAATAAATTTTCTATGCCCCACTTGAAACTGGTGTCTCCTACTTTCCAACCTTATGGAAATAAAACTATTACCAAGGATCCTTCTCCAAAGTCTAAAAATAAATAAAACATAATTCCGGGGAAGGGGTTGTAGCTCTAGAGCACTTGCCTCACATGTGTGAGGCACTGGGTTCAATCCTCAACACCACATAAGAATAAATAAATAAAGAAAATGGGTCCATCTACCAAAACTAGATGGTGGCAGAAGCAGGATTTGAACTCGGATTTGTGTATGTTGTTTCAACCTCCATTCCATATAGTAGTGGGCAGGTCCAGACCAGTAGTGTAAAACAGTTTCTAGCTGAACATGCTCAATGTGATGCTTTGGAATTATTTGCATTTCAGGTTTCATAGAGAGTTGGATAAAGAGAAGTTTATAATGGGTAGTAGGTATGTGTTACAAGATCTTTGAATTAATTACCCTTTAAAGTCTCTTACCACAAAGTAGCTTTACACTTCTAACAGAATAAGTCTCCCTTTTAATAAGCTTTTTTAAAAATTATTCTTATTTTTAATCTTCCTATTTTATGTGAATTTTTGTAGACTTTAATTCAAGGATTTTCTATAAGTAGCCAAAATATATAATACCAATAAGCACATAATTCCATTATAATTATAACTTTGCATTATAATTATACATAATAGGATTACTACATATTTATATATGCACATGATATAACAATATACTGTGGTCAATATTATTTCCCAGTATTTTCCTTTCCCATCCTTCTTCCCTCCCCCTGATCCCTTTCCTCTGCTCCACTGATATCCCTTGGATTTTTAGGAGATCCCTCCACCAACTTTTCTTTATCCTTTCTAGCTTCCACTTATGAGAGAAAACATACAACTCCTGACTTTCAGAGTTTGGCTGACTTCAACCAATAAGCATTTAAAAAAAAAAAATGGTTGAGAACATTTTCTAAATCATGACGATTTCAAAAATTTTTTTAGAACTGAGTGCTTATCTCATTCTAGATGAAATCAAAGTATCAGCACAGAGTCAGAATTTAGGAATCTCAATGAATCCTTAAGTGTAATGGCTCCCATTAGATAAGACAGCTCATGAAGCACTATCCAGGGTTAGGTGAACATACTTCCTCCAAGCAATTGACACTTCCTGAGACACCACATGGCCCCATGGGTTTCTCTGTATCTCACCCCACTCACTTCTTTCCAGGGCAATAGGGATGGCTTGTACAGTTACAGTAAGCAGCAGCTGACCACATGAGACTCTGGTGCTCCCCCAGGCTTCACACACTAATTGGTTTCTGCTCATGTATGTATTTAAAGTGTAGACTCTGATGGTAGGAGTATGGCCAGTGCCAACTCTTAACTGGGTGGGTGAGCCTATCTAGAGACCTAGCTTTTTCCTTCCAGTAAGTTTTCTTGCTAACAAAGCTGACATCTCAATCTTTATCATTTCTCTATTGGTAAAAACTTGGGACAGGGAAAAACAGGTATAATTTACTAATCTTCTCAAAATCCCACATCACTTTTTATTAAGCAATTTTTACATACCAGGCTGAGACAAGCATTTTACTAATATTACCCCATATAATTTTTAAGAGACCATCTTAAAAGGTCCGTAAGCCATACAGCTCAAAAGAAAGTAAAAACAAATATATTGAAAACAAAATATAAAGCCAGATTCCTATGAAATAAAAGCAAACTAAATCAATAAGTTCATTTTTGGTAAAGGATTTTACTTAGCTGTTAACAAAACCATGATATATGTCAAACTAATGCTACTCTCCTTTTTCAAGATGGTATTAGCTACAGAAAGGTGAGCATTCCCTCCATTTTAAAATTTTTCTTTCTTAATCTTTGACATCCTGTATAACCTAGTCCCCCTACCTCTCTGGTCTCTCCCCTTCACTAATTTGTCTTCCTGTTTTATCTCTAAATTTGTTGAATCATAGATCCAATTCTAACAGCTCTTCTGTAACTCTTTTCTCCCCTTATGAAGCCAACCATTCTCAACCATTTTCATTGAACTATAGCTTAAAATGCCATGTTTTTGTTGAAAATTTTCTATTCGTGCTTCTGTTGTACAGTAGGTTTGCACCCATGTGACTATCTGACACCCCAATTTTATGCTAACAGGCACCCCAACCTAATAGGTGGCCAAAAGAAAATGTCTTTTCCTTCTACATCTACTTTTAATTATGCCACTCCAGTCTTCTAAACAGTAATGGAATTAGTCAGCTAACGGCAAGGGAAAACTGATTCCTTTTTCCCCCCAACCCATACTTCCCACACAGTCTACTACTTTTCTGCCTTCAAAGAATAGCCAAACCATATCCAGCTTTCTCCTTAGATATGAGAAAAGACTCAAAACTGGCCTGTTTCCCCTGTTTCCCAATGATAATCCATCCTCCACAGCCCAACCAATGAATTTCCATTACCCTGGAACTTATTCCTAGAATGGGAACCTTCAAGCTTTTTTTTTTCCTAAAGTCTTTTGTCTTTCTGTATAGAAAATGCTGCCACTAAGTCTTGACATGGCAATCTCTTTTCCAGTTATAATCAGATGTTGCCTCAGCAAAAGGGCTTTCCTTACCACCACACCTAAAGTGGATACTCTTCCTCACAACCAGTTGCTTTCTAGCACAAGCTATAATTAATAAGTTCACTTTCGGTTTGACCTGCCCCCTTTCCATGTTCCTGTGAAGGCAATTCACAATGTCCTGCACAAGGTAGGGGCTTTATTTTTTTTTAAATGTAAGTAAGTCCACTGAACACATTATAGCACATTTAACTTATTCTTTATAATTATATAGTCTATTAAATCCCAAGTGTATGAGTTAACACTATTAAGTGACAATTCAGTGAGAAAGTTCAAAGACCTACTTACGGAGTCCCACAGAGTCTGGTTTGCCATTATCATTCTTACTCGGTTGTACAAGTGGAGCAAATGAAACAGCAAGAATATTTTTACTTTCCCAAGTATTTTGTCCAGTTCGCATAATCTGTGTTAACTATTTAAAGGAATAACAAAAAAAAGATAATTGCTTAATTCTGATAATGTGATCACTTTATAGTCAAATTTTTGTTTTAAAGGAATAATTGCCAGTGAGAACTATACTTATAGTTAAATGCAACTACATTACTTCCATTTAGGAATCATAAATTAATATAAAAGGAATTAAAAACATTTGCTGTTTGAGATGAATAGTTCAATCCAAATGAAATATCCAAACATGGCCAGGTGAGTCTGCATGTTATATTTAAGGTCTGATATCTTCTAGTGGTACCATAATCTATACATGCTATTACCTCCCAAAATATGTGTCTCACAGATTCAGTCATTTGGCTAAATCATTTTAATAAAACTATATTTTGTAACTGTACCAACAAGTTGACTTCAGGCTCTTCCATGATGCTATTGAATTAGAATCTAATTCTAACCCTGGCTTGATATTTCACAAGTAAACACAATCACAAAATGACTAGGAGTTTTACCAACTCAGCAAATAACCATCAACAGTCCTAGAAGAAAAAAAATAGTTCAGTATGTAATTTGTTCAAGTTAACCTAGTATCTTCAATTCATTATAAAAAAGAGCCCATTACTATATTTGGTATTTGTAAAATTTTATAGCACTAATGTTTAATAAAATATTGGTAAGAAAATGGGGGTGGGGGGCAGGGTACCAGGGATTGAACTCAGGGGCACTTGGCCACTGACTCAAATCTTCAAACTCATTTTGTATTTTATTTAAGATAGGATCTCACTGAGTTGCCTAGCACCTCACTTTTGCTGAGGCTGGCTTTGAACTTGTGATCCTCCTACCTCAGCCCCCCAAGCCGCTGGAATTACAGGTATGCGTGGGCCACCACACCAAGCAGGAAATATTGTTGGAAGACATTAAAGAAAAATGGGGGGGAAAAGATTATTTAACTGAAAGTCTAAACCTTGTAAGTATTCAAGTAGTATTTTTCCAGGAATGTTTTTACTAATACATTTAATACTCTGCCTTTACAATCAATAACAATATGCTCCAGAGCACAGTGCATGGTAATGGTGTAAATGACATATTGTGATGTCAAGGGATTCCTATGATATATAAACTCTGTCATGCTAGGTCTCGGTTATCTTAGATAATTTACCTCTACTATAGAAACTGCAAAGTGTTTTAAGCAGCTCAGATTTAGGTTACTATGAATATAAAAGATCATATTTCTTTGAAATGAATTTTTATAAAACATTAAAGGTAATGTGATTTTCAAGGGTCCTCTTTGTCAGGCATGGTAACACATGTTTGTAATCCCAGACTCAGGAGGCTGAGGCAAGGAGGATCATGAATTCAAGCCTAGCCTCAGCAACACTGTCTCAAAAAAAAAAAAAATAAAAAAATAAAAAAATAAAAAAAAATGGACTGGGGATGTGACTCAGTGGTTCAGTGGTTATGTATCCCTGGGTTCAACCCAGTACAAAAGTTGAAGAAAAAAAAAAAAGGTCCTTCTTTCTGAATAAATTTGTACTTCATATATTTATTGTACTTCATAATTCCAAACCAAGACAAGAAAAGATAAATTCAATAACGTTCATAAATAGCTAAAGAATATTTTCAAATGAGTCTAGATAGTACTAAATAAAGATTTTAAAACTCACTATTAAAGATGTTATATAGCTCAAAACAAGCATAAACAGGACTTCTTTTCAATATGTTCAAAGAACTTATGAAGGATGGATGCTGGACAGCTTGTCCAGGTCGTTACACTAAACTCTATACTTTCCAGGTGGGGAACCAAAGAAGGGAGCAGCTTGCTGAATGCCACACAAGCACCACTGTCTCTTCTAACAACAATCAGGATTTTTTTCTACATCTGCTCTGCCTAAATAATTTAGAGTCTGTTTCAAGTTTTTTCTATACACATAGACTTGTTAAGAGTACTTTTTTAAAAAGTAAAATGTATTTTTCACTTTCACCAAGGAACACCTCCTCATCTTCAACTAACTTGTTTGCTGTGACACTAAGCAAAAGGACTGTAGAAGTTACCTGATCCTCTATAGGCATAACTAGTATGCCTCCAACTTTTAGTAATATTTTCATGTAATTTTCATGGTCTTTCTGAACTCCAGCTCCACAATAAATTCGATCATACTGATGACTGTCAGATGCTATCTGGAGGCAATTACCAACCACAAATGCAGGTTCACAGAACTCAAATCTGCATGGGAAAACAAATATATTTTAATTCATTTAAACAAAACATTAATTTAAAAATTACCATAATTTAGTCCTTTGAAGTAGTGAAGTTACCAAAATTAACTATATATTTATATAAAATGGTTGATTATAAAATTTGACTTAAGTAGATTTATGAAGCTAGTATTGGTTAAGTATGTTGTTTTCTCATCAGTTATTCATGGTACAGGTTTTCAAAACATTAGCCTATTTTTAGCCATACTGAAACCCCAGTTAAAGCTTAAACAATGAATATAATGCAAAGCCCATCACAACACCAATTTTGTGATATCCCCAAAATTATGGATCATAAGAATCATAAGAGTCAACAGATGAGAAAAGGCTCTCAACTTTAGACCATGTTTTCCAAAAATCTTCAGGGGCCGATGGAAATGAAAAGGATTTATATAAGTATTCATCTTTGTTTGACATTTTTGCTGGAGGTGACAGCGACAGAACTTTGTCAAGAAAAGATATCAAGGGCTGGGGATATAGCCTGGGTTTGATCGCCAGAACCACAAAAAAAGAGAGCGAGAGAGATCTGGAGACAGACAGACACAGACAGACCAATGTCCTGATCATAATCCCTTGGAACCACTAGGATTAAGGAGGTTTTCTAATAAAAATTGGCTGAGCAACATTACAAAACTGGATTGAGAGTGAAATGAACACTGTTTTCCTTCTGCTGCTTTGGCCCCTAGAATCTCCCTAACCAATAAAGAAGTTCCTACAAGCCACTTGTTCCTGGTTACAGTGCTGGTTCATGGTACACAGACTATTCTAACTAGACTTCTACTTTATCTCTTAAATTCTGATAAAAACTGAAAAGACTAACATACGACATAAATTAAAACCCCAATAAGCCAATAAGGTATGTAATCTTTTTAAACTAATTCTTATTCTTCTTAGTTGATTATAGTCAATATGACCATACAGCAAAATCAACCTATTATTTGAAAATGAAATAATTTACATTAAAATGTTTGGCATGCAGTAAAAAATGACACTAGCTTAAATCAGTGACTTTTACTTTGTAATATGTATCATGTCGGTTGATAATTACAATAAGTTTCCTTAAAAATTCACTAAAATACACATTATAAACACATATTTAAAGAAAAGTTTACCAGAATTATGTGCTGTCCTTAATACCCTTTATACCTGGTAGACAGGGTAAGGGGAAGTAGGAAGAGTTTAAGTTGGAAGGTTGGGTAATCAGTGTATATCTACTCTCTCATCTCCACATCCTCACACTAAGTTAGTCCATGTTCCATTATTTCTTTTACTATAACAACCACCTCACTGCTCAATTTTTCAGGTCTGTTTTCTATCATTTTGCTTCTTCCTACACAGAATAAGTTCAACCCTCCAGGCATAGCATGTGACATCTTGATAATTGCTATGGTTTGGATATGGTGAGAATGTGTCCCCCAAAAGTTCATGAGCTAGAAACTTAGTCATCAGTTTGACAATGCTGGGAGGTAGTGAACTCTTTAAGAGGTACGATCTAAGAGGAGATAATCAAAAAACACCCTCAGATAGGAAAATTGCCCATCTCATTGGGGTAAGTTAGCTGTCGAAGTACTAAATAAGTTGTTAGAAAGTGGAGTCACCTCACTTTGGCCTCTTACAGATATACTGCTCACCTCTCTCAAATAAGATCCCACCAGCTGCCATGTTATACTGCATCATGAGGCCCCCACCAAATGTTGCTGCATGCGCTTAGACTTTCAGCCTCCAAAACCATGATCCAAAATAACCCTCTTTCTTTATTAAGTAATCAGACTCAGGTATTCTGATACAGCAACAAAAAAGAGATTAATACCATGATTCTACAACAAATTGCCCCTTTGGACTCATTCCCTAGCTCTCTCCAACCTGTACATAATATTCTGCAGCCAGACTGAATTATTTGCTTTTAATTTTTTACGAGAAACATTACATGAAGTGTTTTGAAACCTTGTATCTGTACATGTACTGTTCCTTTAACTTAAAAGCCCATCCCTGTCCTTCTTTCTTTAATAAATGCTTACTATTCTTTGAAGATACAGGCCAAATATCAGTTTCACAATGAAATCTTATTTAATTCTTTAAAAATATAAACTTATCTAGATTGGGGATCACATTTAATTTCTCTCTTATATGAGACTATATATAGCAATCTCTTAACTGTTTTTTAAAATATGGCCAAAATATAATTTTTTGCTTTTAAGTAATTAGACACTATGAACCAGAGTTTTATTTTTTTTAATCAAATGTGTAGCAAGCATTCTTTCCTTTAAAAGTTATTTAATAAGTTCTATCTAAAAATTTTCATACTCATAAAATTCATTTTAAATGCTTTAAATTTTTAATATTTTACATCAAATAATTTTCAGGATAAAGGTGAGCAGGGAATTTAAACAATCAAAAAATTTTAAGTTATTAAACTCATCATACTTGTTAAATCAAGTCAAAAATATAATTATAGGAGCTGGGGAGGTAGCTCAGTGGAAGAGCACTTGCCCAGCATGTGTGAGACCCTGAGTTCAATCCCCAGCACTACATAAAACTAAATAAACAAGATAAAGGTATTCTGTCCATCTATAACTAAAAATATTAAAATAATAATTATAGTTTTAAAAAGTCCCTTCTAGTTAAAATACAAGGTAGTTACAGAACTGTTATTACCAAGGAAAACACCATTACAGGTAAACAAATTACAAGTAAAATCACTTCTCCCTTAGTGATATCTTACATCGTCTCATCACAGGAAAACGTTTTAAAAAGAATTTAGTGCCTGATTTTAAAATCAAACGTGACTGGTCAAGTTACCTAACAGTAGTAATTGCATAGTTCCTTCAGCCAAATACTGTTTACTGAGAATCAGTTGTGGGCGGTGATTGGGAATACAATGGGAAATATACTCAAGCCTACATCCAATGGGAAAAACAAGTATCAAACAATCCAAATTCATAAAAGTATAAATTACAACTGTGATAAATGCTTTAAAGGAAAGGAAAAAGATTCCTTAAAACTGAAGATGAAAGGAAACTGACAGATCTGGGATGTAATAATGGTTCCCTGAGAAATTATTATAAGCCACGAAAGATGTTCAGAAAGAATAATCTAGAACCACATTATCCAAGAGGGTAGTTACTACCCACATGAAAACACAGAAGCTCTTAAAATAGGGCTAGTCCAAAGTGAAGTAAGTATAAAATTCAGATGAGTTTAAAAAAAAAAAAAAACTCATCTCAATAGTTACTTTGTATTTTTATGTTTTATATTTAGTGTGCATTTGTTTTGTTAGTCAAATTTAAAAAAAAAATGAAAAAACTACCCTTCTACTTATTATAGGTAAACAAGTGCCTCAAATACTTTATCCAATTAATGCACTCTTCCCTTCGAAACATTTTCCGTATTTTCCTGCTACTTCTTTGAATATTTATTCTGAATGTGCTTTTATCTCTATCTCCTATTAAGGTTCTCAAAACACATTTACTAAATAAGTAAACCATAGAATAAACATGAATGCTCTTTAATTTTAACTTGCCAACATTAAATATGAACCCAATTTGTTAAGTTAAATATGACAATCACGAGAATCTCAAGGCTAGAAGGGGAATTGGCTTAGAAAATAAAGTTATAGGAAAAGTATATGCCCATCACACTCTACAGTCATAGAATGGCTCATGTTTTACTAAATTTCTTACTATAATAACTGTAATTTCATGTTATAGAATACATGATTTTTTTCCTAACATGCCAAAACCACAAAATTTAAATAGTAAAGAACAATATAAACCTTTGCCTTTAATAAATAAATATCATATAACTGAAAGGCATGGGGCAGAGGAGCTTTCTAAAGATCTTGAATAAGCTACCCTTACTATTCTTATAAACAAATGTTTTCCCTTCTGATGGAGATCAGAAAAAGTATATCTACTTCAATCAAAGGGTCACTGCAGAGAACAAACAAATCTCTAGTAAATTTCTACTAATACTAATGATATACTTGTATACTAACAATTGCATGCAGTCTTTACACTTCTACTTAGCATATTTTCTTTACCAGAACACTCAATCTTGAAAACTTGAACTTAAGACAGTATTCCCCCAAAAATTGACTATTTCTAGATGCAAAAATCATAAAAATTGAAAAACACATATAAAACTGGAAGAAAATGTTGGCACCAAAAACATACAGAACATAAGAGAACCCATATGCCAAACCCACAAGAAAACTGTACCACTATCAACTTAGTAAAATGTCTATGAGAGAAAGTGTTTTATCGGGGATTATTTATTAGACTTCTAACTATGGCTTTTTACCCATCATATATGACTGTTTCACAATTAATTTTAAGAACAAAAGTTTTCAAATTGCATTGTTATGTTTTTCTGAAAACCTGCCCATGGTTTATGGATTAACTTTTCTAATAATTTATAGAGATGCTTTAGTATTTCTGACTAGGTAAAGAATCTTAAATAGTTGAAAAACTTAAATGTTGAGAATCTTAAATTCTGATACTAATATTATGGGTTATTATTATAAACAGCATTTCATTAAATAGACTCATACCAATCTGATTATAGAATGAACAAAATTATATTGCTGATTTTTTTCAAAAGTCTATAATTAAAATAGTTCAGATAAACCTTTATAGATTATTTATATTTATGACGAACAACTACTTGATTCAAGACATAGATGTTATCTCTAACAGAGTAAATTATAACTCCTAGAGAGTCTTCCAAGGAGAGAAGGAAAACAAGAACATTTGTCTTCCTTAGGTTTTGACTATCTTCCAAAAGCTACATCTTACCTAAATTTCTACAAACTTATAAAGGCAAAGGACATATTTTAAACAACAAATACAATTTCTATAAACTCTAGAAGATTATAGCAAAAAGTTCTCAGAAGTTCTCAGTTTATTACCAAATGGTACTATTGCATTTATAAATTTACAAATGTAAATCAAATTTTAAAATAATACAATA